TTATGATTCAGTTTTGTTCATATGTAAAATATATTTTCAACTCTGCTGCACTAAAATTATAATCAGGTTTGAATTATTTGAGAATAAAAGTTGAAAAAAGAATGTTTGAGTGGCAGAATACACTCAGACTCATTCAGAATGTTTATATGCCCATCCTGGAAGTCAGTAATAAGAAAAGTATTGCATGTCTGGCTATAATAAGCCACTCATGCATGTTTTGTAACATGCGACGAAACGATTGTACCAGAGATAATCCATGCAGAATAAATCTGCACACAAAGACCCCATGCAGCAGAAAGTCAACAAGAGCTGTAATATGTGCAGAACTGCCTCTCTAATCATCACAGTTATCTGATCCTAATCACTTTCTGTAATCCCACAGACACTGAGACATAATTAAAGCAGCTGAAAAGATGACTTTAGGTCCCTGCCCACTCGCTCCCTCATGCTTTGAGATCCTGAGCAGAATTAAACTCTCCAAGTGATGTCAGGCCTGTTAGCACTGACTGCTTCCTCTTTCAGCTCTGATTGTACTTTACACTGAAAATTACTTTAAAATTTGTTTCAGTGCAAGATCTTCTGTTTGTTTTCTCTTTAAAAATCAGAATAACTATTTCTTTATTTGTGCCCTGAAAAAAAATCAGCTTCAGTAATTYATAGTTTACATTACTCAAAATAAGATGTGACTTGTTGTTGTCTTGTTCACTCATGCATGAACTGTGTTAAATATTTATCTGCACTCGAGCATCCCACAGTAAACACATCTGGCTCTGAAAGTCCATCTGAAGGATCGCCTGCATCTGTTTCCTGCAAAACAGCATGACAATAGGAAGAGGGGACAATCAAAGATCAACACATGTGGCACATCCATGGAGTTGTTTTTTTTTCACAAACTTAGACTGGTTTCACCCCTGCCTGACATGAATTTTAACCGAATAACAAGATTCTTCCCCACAAATATAGTCATCAGCTCCTTTTGCAATGTTGGTCAGACAACAAATTGAGACTGCAACAATTGCTATCATATGCTGAATTAAATATAATTAGAATTAATATTACTTCAGGATATATTATGAGGATTCAACTTTAGTCCTATCTGATTTACAATGAAAAATGTGCAAAAAATAATTTTCATTCCCAGTGAATCAACAAGATATCCTGTACTGCCCTCATCTGTTGCTTATTGGTAGTACAACTGCATATAAATGAATAATGTAACCCTGTGTGAATTTTGATTTTTACTTTATTTATTCTTTATTGGTTTTAGGGTTTTTTGTATGTTTTTTTTTATCATGGGGACTTGTTTTGTGTATTTTATTTACCTTCTGTAAAACACTTAATTATTGCAACCGTTTGAAGTTATTTATAACACAAAGTTATGTAAAGTAAAGCATGTTATGGTACGTATCAAAGCAACTTTATTAGACCTTCCTTTTTCTTCCAGTTGTAAGTGGGTGAGCTGTTTATTATGGCGTCCATCATGGGACATTTTTCCTGTAAAAAGTCTGTAAACACACTATATATATAT